AATAATATTGTAAGTAACTTTTATATAAAGAATTTTCTTCCCCAAACGTAAATAACGAATATATTCCATAAAATATAAAAATGACCACCAATAAAGTACCCCCCCAAATGTTCCGACTCTGTCCAAAATCTAATCAGTTCACCTCAGGTCGAAATAAAACTTAAGTTTAAAATTTAATGTTTTTTCCTTTATCCGTTTTTGAGTTTTCTTCAAAATTCGAAATTTACACATTTTCTCAAATATCTCGAATACGGTCCATTTTAGAGAAATTATTTATAGGATAAAAATTATAGAGAATTATATTACAAACAACTTTTATTTGAACAATTTTTATAAAAAATTATTTTTTTTTACATTTTGTCAAATTTCTCTAATACGGACCATTTTAGGAAAATTTTGCATAAAACAAAAATTATAGATAATTATATAAGAAGTAACTTTTATTTGAAGAATTTTCTTTTCCAAACGTAAATAACAGATATATTCCATAAAATATAAAAATGATCACCTATAAAGTACCCCCCCAGATGTTCCGACTCTGCCCAAAATCTAATCAGCTCATTGGACGCTGAAATAAAGCTTAAGTTTAAAATTTGGTGTTTTTCTGTGTATCGGTTCATGAGTTATGCGACCTACAGACACACACACACACACAGACACACACAGACATCATCGCGAAAATAGTCAAAACGGATTCAGGGGACCTCAAAACGTAAAAATCCGTCGAAAACTCGAGGTCGAAAAAAATCATGATTCCTATACTTTCCTTATATCTGTATACAGATAGGAAAGTAAAAAATTGTATATAGCCGGTTGGCAAAAGTCTTTTATAAGTATTTAGTGTAAAATGTAGGCAGTCATTGATAAATGTATCCTCTCGTTTACAAAGATTTATTTTTTTTGCAATCTGAAACAACAGACAATGAATTAAAAAATATGTTTGTATTTTATTGAAAAGAACTTACCAAACCTATTCAAACGCATAGTTTACAAATCTTTAAAATCAAAGTCAAATTGAAGGCAAAATTTCTAATTTTTCATCTTTCAACAGTTACCAAAATTAGGTACTACAATACAAATATTTAAGTCCGGTCCAGAACATCTCCCTACTCCTTCCAACCAGTTTTTCGGTTTTGGCAAAATTCGGGCAGCGGAAAATGCTTCCTATGTTACCTCTACCCTTTCTAACCTCTTTGGTTGTCCCCAAGAGCCCCTCGTAAATTTCCTTTCATTCTACTCAACATCAATGTACTTTTCAACCCTCTTCGAGGCTTGTATGCGAAAATGGGGCATCTAAATCGGTCACTATCTGACGGTCTATATCGGACATGTTGTCTGCAATAGTTTGATGTTAAACTGGATACACTTAAGAGAATATTATATTATTCTTGTAGACGATAGAAGAAAATGGAGAGAAATAGTGCAACAAGTGTTCAATAAATAAACCGATTTTTATTAACCTTGTGTCACTAGGCCTGTTGTGCTTATAGATATAGGAATATATTTGTCAACATAATCGAACGTCAGAAGTTGTATATTGTTTTGTACTGATCGGATACGATAGAGGTCAAAAGTATCACCTTGAATTTTTAAAATAAAAAGGGTGTTTAATTTTAGACTATATAATCAGATAATCAATCGTGTGTATGATCGTTTCCGTCTGTTATCTGAAGACGAGTCTCAAATCGCATCAATATTTAATTTTTTATTTCAATTAAAATTTGAGAGACGCTAAAATGGTGGTTTCCACCTTATTGAGACTGAGGCCCACAAGGGTAAACTCGTAGCGTAAAAAAAACGAGAAATAATTTAACTTGGAACGAAAGACCGAAAGCCAATAGTAGTATTAAGACGTTGAATTTTCTGGTTTGTGAAACATTGGCATTACTTAGGTCAAACCATGTAATAATTTTGACAAATCTTGATTTTTAAAAGAATTCTATATCGCCTTTTGGTTAAAGTTTGTTCGAGTAATTTATCCAATAATAATTGAGCCCTTGACCTCTTAAGCCTGCTCATGTAAACTGTTTGGGCCCCTTACTTGGTCTATTTATCTAAAAATATTTGGTCTTTTTTAAATATATCCATGTAAAATTATATGATCCCCTTACTCCCTCATGTAAAAATATTTGCACCCACTGTTGTTTAAGCCTACCTACGTATCAAAATTTAAAACGGCAAAATCTTTTTTCATTTTGATAAATTTATTAATACCAATTCTTTGGGCAGTGCATTTATCGTTCTGGATAGCTGTTCACTAAGTCATGGGAGTGCTCCCATATATTTTGCTCTTACTCTTAGGTGGGTATATCGTGCTTACTCACTTTTAGAGGACATACCTAGAAAGGTCAGATTTTATACCATGGGAGGGAGCTGTATTTTTTGTGATAAAAAAGTCGCCGTCACTTGTCATTGACAAAGCGTTGAACTTGGCCTTAAGTTAAAAAATCACAAAGGAAATTTGAACTACTACCACTTAAATAGTAGATCAAAGTTATTCTGTCGATTTGGCAACGTTGTCATGGGAGTATGGGAGTGCTCCCATGAGTTAGAGAATAGGTATCCTAATAGTTTAAAAATAGTAGTGTTGGACGACTACTGATGTATTTTTTACATATACCTTGATTAACCCTTTTCCTGGTTTAAATTTTTCCATGAATGATACCAATTTTGCACCGTTCTGTAAGTAGGATTTTGGTAAATATTGCAAAAATATACAATTTTTTACGAAACCCCATAAATTAACGTTTTTTTTAAAAAAAATACATATTATGAGGATCATTAAGTGAATCACGGATCCAATGTTCGAATCCTTTTTCAAAAAAAAACAATTTTGAATAAAATTTTATGAAATGAAATAAATCAAATTGGCGTGAATTTCGAAACGTCGGTTAGGCGCGCTCGCTTCGCTCGCCCTCCTCTGTAGTGGTTTGAAGGTGGGTGGGAGGAGCGTAGCGTGATCTTATAATGTGTGTGGAAAAAAAGGCACGTCAGCCAGGCGCGCTCGCTTCACTCGCTCTCCTCTGTAGTGGTTTGAAGGTGGGTGGGAGGAGCATAGCGTGATCTTATGGAGAAACTGTTGCCATGCTAGTGACTAAACAAATCCCGTAGTGAGAAAATGCCTAGTTGCAAGTTATAGATGGATTCATTTTCATTTTAATTTAGATTGATATATTATGTTAAGAGTTAACCTAAATACAAGAGGCAACTGCGCATTTCCTCAACAACGGATTTAGGTTTTTGTTTAGTCGACATCACGACAAGTGTTTCTATGGCAACGGTTTCTCCGTAACCGACTTCAGCTACACTAAAGTAAAAATTAAATGACCTATAACTTGCATTTCCTTACCACGCGAATTGGGTTTTTGTCGTTACCATGACAAGTGTCTCTATGGCAACAGTTTCTCCGTAACTGATTACAGCTAAATTAACTCATCTGTAACTTGGCAACCACGCATTTCCTCACCACGGGATTTGGTTTTTTGTTTAGTCATTACTATGTCAAGCGTTCCCATGGCAACAGTTTCACCATAACTGATTTCGTCTAAAATAAAGTGAACATTAAATGATCTATAACTTGGCAACTATGCATTACCTCACCACAAGATTTGGGTTTGTGTTTACTGGTTACCATGGCAAGAGTTGCCATGGCAACAATTTTTACGTAACTGATTTCGGCTAGACGAAATTTGACCTCAAATTCCGTTTAGAAATCCCTAAACTAAATTTTCATTTGACATATGGCATTATATAAAAGGTTACCACGTTATGTGTGACGTCACCACAGTAACCACAATACTGTAACCAAGTATGTTGTAGTAAGCTTATAAAGAAATGCATTAAAAGTATCCACCGAGTGACGACACAATTAACCCAGCACAAAATGAACTAATTCAGCTATCCTTTTGTTGATAGTACTTTTACCTTGGCTGGCTAGCGTTATTTATCAAACAAATAAATTGCCTTGATTTAAAAAAGTTTTAAAAGCTTTTGGATAATAAAAAGTAATTAAGTTTTAACGTTTTTGAAAATTACATTGTTTATTACTTTATAGATGACTTAATAGAACTGCTTTTTAAAAAGTATGGAAATGTTATGTCAAAAATAAGGTATTTTTTTATATTTCTTTTTTGTTGATTTTAATTGGACACTTTTCAACACCGCGCTAATTTGTATTGACAGAGCATGAATGAATGTTTGGAATGTATGGAATGTTAGGAATGTTAGACGTTAGGAATGATAGGAATGCGTAAAATAAGTGACATAAGAAATGCATGGGCGGATTTTAAGAACATTGATATTAAAGTAGTTAGAATAAACCGTAAATTCTGAAAATCAATAGGGTTCTAATTTAGAAGCAATTATTCAAGAAAATCAAAACCGCAAGTCAATCAAAACTTTCGTTCTAAAGTTATCGTGCCGGCATACATACACACAGACGACCATAGGAAGGCCTCAGTAATGCTTTTGATCAAAATGTATACATAAATATACAGTTTTGTAGTTGTATACTTGGCATAGGTATCTTTCTAATAGAACATAAAAAATATTGAACATGAATTATATAAGTATTAAGTAAAATGGCCTGCTGTAATATTGGAATATTTCCAAACAACGTAACAGATAAAAACATTTTTTTTACTTCGTAATTCAATAAACGTAACCCCAAAACGAAATTATGCAAGATAAAACATTTAAAATATCCTCTTAATTTTGTATTTTACAGTTGATAGTATAGATATTGTTATCATATTGTGATAATTTTTAATTAATTTATCATGTTTTCGTAAAAAAGACCGTTTCTATGTTCTAAATATTTTCGTGTTTCGTGATATCACTCGTTGATTTCCTGATTTTACAAAAATTGATCAGGATGGGTACAAAAAATAAATCATAACGAAACTGTTTACTAATCTATTAAACAAGATTAACATTAAAGTACATTAAAATCAATCATAAAAATAATAGTATACCATACAAAATTTGATCCAACAGCTACTTTCATCATTTTTAACAAATATGTGATTGTATTCTTAGTTATTATTAATATAATTTGATTAAACATGTTTATAAGCTGTAACTGTCATAAAACTAATAAACTAGGTAGCAGGACTTCACAGTGTAACCAAACCAACACTAAATTATCAATATAATTTTAAATAAAAGTATATTAAATATACGTTATAACCAAACAGTACATTAGTACTTTATTTATCTACGACCAAATAAATAATAACTCTATAAATAGTAGCGGTAGCTGTTGGATAAAATATATAAAACACTCTTTTAAATACAGTTACGTAACTAGGGAGCACTTGGTATATTATGTTACTAATTTCTGATATATTTCTTCAAAGTTTCGTATCAAATCAAAAAGATAAAACAGAACGCTACCTTGAGACTCATACTTCCGTCATATAATTTTTTATTCGCTTTAGAAACTATACCCTTTTGAGTTTTTATGAAGCCCGCCAAGCAAGAACAAATTACATTAAGTTAGAATCTGCAAAATGCCTAGAACTCTAGAGCAGTTACACCCAAAATTCGATGTTCGTTCAAGGGCGCACTAAACATCTTGGGAGTATTTCGTTTGTCATGCTGTGCGAGGTTAGAGGTTCGAGAATTAATTTTATCAAACTAAAGTATCCCTAATAACACTGATCTGCCAGAAACATCCCATTTAGGTTTCATGTATGTCCCTACGATGTCTCTAAAGGAACGTTTCTGGAATGATTTCTCAAGAACGTTTTAGAAACATCAATAAATTATAAATTACTGCAATCTCCAGAAATCTACAATAATATCAAACTCCAATATTAAATTTGAACTTTTTGAACAATATTTTTATTTCACAGGACAACTGATACAGGTCAAATTTATCTTTATTCAAAAAAGGAATACAAAGAAAATACGACAGAGATGAATATACCTTTCTTTCTGGTTCAGTAGGAGAGTTCGGTTAATCCTCCGCGAGCCAAAAAAGTACACTATTAACAGAAGCCCTCGTAATGGAATATCGTTCCATTTATACAAATTGTATATATGGATCAATATTTTCGATAAAAAGGAATAGACCTCACATTTGATTTGCTCGCGAAGTTTTAACCGAACACGCCCACCGTATAATCAGATCCAATGACAATATTGACATATGACAAACAGTTTTCATTAGTGTTGACAGTTGAAGATGAAAATATGTTTCAGCTCACTTATAATAAAGTTTAGAAAAGTTTAAAAGTAATAAACAACTTGTCTATAAACTTTTAAATAAACTAAAAGTAATGTGTGTAGTTTGTACGTAAAGTTACATGAAAAATCACTTCCAATTCGAAGTTTGATCAGGCTTGGCAAATGCAGAAACAATCGTTTGACGTGCAAGATATTAAAGTTATTACTTCTTTATTTGTTAACTTTAAAAATAACTATTTTAGGTATTGTATTTTGAAAACCAAGGTAGCAATAATCTGTGTGGATTTATCAGAAGATACATAGTTCCCCTCGAGGAACGAGTTGTGTAAGTTGTTTTCTTTCACTGGAAAAAGGGAAGATGCCACGTTAAAAATAGCTAAATCCATTATGGGTAATTATTTTAACTTAATATTAAATGTTTATATTATCATTTAATTGAAACATTTTTGTGGAGGGCACCGGAAGAAATAGATGCAATGAATCAGCGTAATAATTAACATTTTTAATTTTTATGTCAAAAAATATATTTTTTCAAATAAATTTATGAAAAAAAAATAAAAGATTTGATTATCCTACTAAAAAAACGTTTAGGTCATTTCTGGAAAGATTCCAGCAATAGTATAAAAAACCTAAGACATTTGAGCAACATCGTAGGATGTTCCACAAACGTATTTGTGAAACGTCTCTAATACGTCTTTATAATGGCTTCAACAAAAACAAATCTACTTTCAAACTAATGTTTAAAAATCACGCAATTAGGAATTTCAAAAATCGTAAGAAGTATTTAAAAAATAATTTAAATGCTTTATAACTTTTTTATTTTTGAATAAATTGTGAAATTATTTTGTCAAAATACAGCAGATAAACGTGAAAAATTACGTCTCGCAGGTGTTGCTCATTTTCCGCTTTACAAAGTTGCGCTCTTTCCAACACATGTTGCATGACTATTTGCAAAACTTCAACGGTTATGGCACGGATTTCATTGCGAATATTATTTTCAAGTTTAGGTATGGTCTGTGGCACCAAATAAAAAAATCTGGAGCGGTCAAATCTGGCGAACGCGATGGCCAATTTAAATCGCTCCTAGGAGCCGAAGATTTCCCGTAACAGAACCATTGTATACCTTGCAGTGTGAGCCGTGGCGCTATCTTGTTGAAACCACATTTAATTTTGAGGGTGATTTGCTACACATGGTCATAAAAAATTTTTCATCAACGATATGCACGATGCGTCAAAATAACCGAGTTTTCGTTAAAACAAAAAAATAAATGATATTTGTTCGCTGTTCTAATGTATACTGTTCGATTTCAAATTCTCCAAGCCTTCTTTACAAAATTTTAAAACAAAATAAAAAATGCAATATTAAATAAAAAAAATTATAACGCATATAAACCAGCATATAACGTTCATAAAATACATATAAAAATAAACCTGATCCTCCATAGTTACGCCACTGTACCCACTATTTACAAAACTTTGGTATCAACATAAAAAACGACCCAATCCATAAATGGTATAAAAAAATATGAACTAAAAATCTCTCTGTTTACAAACAATGTAGGGTTCTTCACTTTCTTTAATCATTATTAAAAAGAAAACTTTAAATATGCAGCATCTATAAAAATATCTTTATTATTCATATACCTATTTTATTACTCTAAAATTATTTTTCTTTACACCAATTTTGGGTAGTTATATGTAAATATTTAGCAATTTTTAGAATATTTTGATACATTTGTTATGTTTTTAACCAATATTGGTGAAAAGAATATTTTTATTACTTCAAGTGGCGTTATAACGACTAGAAGTGTAGGCCCAAAATGATATGCCCTATAAAAATAGATTTAAAAAACGATTCAAAAAAAGTATACAAGTATCCATATTAATATTATGCCATGACTTAGTTTGATCATCTTTTTTTACCTTGACAGCATCTGTAGGAATATGTAAGACAAATGCAGCCAAAAAAGCAACCGGTTTGTTTCTGAAAACCGTTTACAAACTGCCAATCCACTCGTAGTAGGTACTCATGGGCGAAAAAGTGTGAGACTTTTGAATCTAGTATTAGGCCATTATACATCATATTAGAGGGACGTAATTTAAGCATTCCAAACAAATGAATTGCCAGGGGGAAGGTTTAGTATATCTAAGGATTGAGACATACGATGTATTCTATCTACAATACGTAAAATCATTTAAATATTTTATGTCAAACACAATAAAAATATTATTTAAAAAACCGCTATACCTACATTTTTCTAAGCCTACATTTTAAAAGATTCACTTTGTTACAAGATTAATCTACCTGGATATTATCCTCATATTAATGTGTTGTCATTATAATGTTTTATTTAACTATACAGAGGGTGTTTTAAAAAACATGTGCAATGATTCCTTAGGGGAGACTGGGGCTACTGTGGACATGGGAGTGCAATTTTTATAATGAAACCGTTTGATTTACGCGCCACTGCATTGCACGTTCTCTTTTAATTCTAACTTCAATCTTGTAAAGTTTGGCAGCCCTGTTTGGCGCTATAACTGTTAATGTGAATAACGTCATTTCACAATTGTATTTTTGCAAATGAAATTACCCAGGCAGCAGACTGACGACATTTTGACGTAATTTTTTGGTAATTCTTGGTCATCGACGTCATGTTAACAAAAAATTAGGTGATTATGACGTCACTTCTTTAACGACTTTTTGACGTCACAAATTCGACGTCAGTGTGACGTCAAGTTATTGTCACTATTAAATTAAGGTTTATATTAAACGTGATATCAATACATTTTATTTATGTAAAATGATATGGCCTAAACATTTTTTTTTAAAACTATTAGGTTTATTATCGTTTAAATCTGGCGCTTAAAATGCATAAAGATTGTATGACACCACGTGACACATGACTGCGTCTGTCTGTGGTTATCGGTCTGTGGAGTATGGCTCGTGTGTGTTCGAGCAAGCACGAGAACGATATCGCAGATTGTTGCATCGGCCATGTGTAATGGTGTGTACATCGTGGATCGTGGCTCGTGTGCATTCAGAATTGTTGTTAAAAGTTAAGATAAGGTCAGTGAAAAAAGTTATATCAGTATCAACCCAGCATAAGGCATTTTTATATCTATATTTTCCTTATTCTTTAATGATTTTATATATTTTACATTCATAGGATGTTTCCTAAAATGTTCCCAGATTCGTGAAATAATATAAAATGGCGGCACTCATAAAAAAATCATTAGAAATTAAATGTGAGCGTAGTCTTCATGATTGTGCCAAAGTCAAAATAATAACGAACAAGTTGGCCACATTTGGAGCAGTTGGATTTATATAAATTAATGTTTTTTTCCAATAACATTTCATGTATTTAAACCATTTTTTCTTTTTAATTATAATTATTTCATTTTCTAATTTTGTTTTATTAAGTTCCTATAGAAAAGTTACAAAGGAGTAACAATATCAAAGATAATGTCATGGTGACGACTCAAATAACGATAAAGGTGACATTAAAACAACGTTATATAAACGTCATAATGACGTTATAAAGACTACTAGTTAACGTCATAAACATGTCATATTTAGACGTGAAAAGGACGTCTAAATATGACGTCATTTGGGCTGTGACATATTCACGTCATTTTACCGTCATTATCACGTTAGTTTTCAGAGGATAAATGACGTCCTGTATGACGAAAATAAGATGTCATAATGACATCAGTCTGCTGTCTAGGTATTGTTATATTTTGAAGGTAAGTTATAGATTTTAAATGGGAGTTGTTGTGTTTTATGACAATTTATGTGTAAAATATGCATTTGGGATTAGTGTGTACAGTTGTTATGGGGATAGTATGGACACTATCCACACTAGCCCCAGGTTTTTTGATAAATGGCATAATACTAGATCAAAATACAGTTTAAATATTTAGGATCGTTTTCGATGATGATAATAATAATAGTTGTCCTTATTTCTATATGGTTCGAACCTATGTTCACAAAACTGATCGAGCTTTGATGAAGAGGCAGTTATAACAGCAGCAGTTTCAGAAGTAATTAAAGGAGTCACTTTGAGAAAAACTGCAGAAAAATATGGCCTCAAAAAGTCTATGCTACATAAACGTGTGAAAATGGCAAAAAAGAACATGAAGCATGCCTGACGCTGATGATTGAGGACAATCTGGGGATGAAGAAGATTATGTGACTATAGCCAACGCTAGAGGAAATAAATACCAAATAAGGCAAGTATTTAGCGACGAAGAGGACCAGCTGCTTGTTAATTACTTTATGAAAGCTTCTAATTTGCACTATAACATGACATATAAACAAAGTCATGAGATGGCCTTCCAGATGTTTGGAATGCTAATAAAATGGCTGGTGAGGACTGGATCCTCGGATTCATGAAACGACACCAAGAGTTGTCTTGTAGACCGCCAGAAAACACAAGTTTGGCTCGTAATGCCGCTTTCAATGCAACAAATGTCGGTCAGTTTTTTGACAATTATATTCAAATTCTAGATAGTAAAAAATTTACCCCCGATATAATTGTGCAAATTGAAACCTCTTTGTCGAGATATTTAGGTTTTCAAACTGCGAAAATATTTAGTTTTTTTTTTTTTTTTTCTTGAAAACGGTTAGACTTAAACATTGTTATTTTGGTATACGTTATCCAATAGTAGAATCCTATTTTGTGATGGTGCCTTTTCTTACGTAAACGTCATGTTTCTAAGGAGTAGAAATTAGCAACCTCTCTTTTTGTTTCTTTCAGAACTTTTTCATAAAAAGTCAATTATAACAAACATGAAGACTACATGTAGGGTAAGGTGGGGCAGGTTCGGACATGGGGCACCTCCGGCCAAGTCCAATTTACCGCCTTATGGTGCTATGACACTTGCTATATTGACATTACAATATTCTTCTACACTAGTAGTTCTATGGCACGTAAATTTTGAGCGACTTCGATTACTCAGGAACTATTTATTTGAGAAAATTCATAAACAGAGTTGTTCTTATAAATTTCAATAGAGCCTCGGCTCGAGAATCCCAGTAAGGTAAGTTTTATCCTATTTACCGTAAATATTATTATGTTTATCTATACATAACCTCATAAAACGGCATATAAACCATGTGCGATTTTTATTTTGTCATTAATTTAATTTTGGAACATGGGGTACGTTCGGACAAATCGAGTGGAGCAGCTTCGGACTGTTCGAATGTGCCTCATTTAACAAATATAAATATACTGTTACAAGAATGCTAAAAAAACATATTGATTGATTTTACTTTTTAGAATGGTGCGTAACTACATTAAAAAGAGAAATCGCCCTGATATTCCGAAAGATGATTTAAAAAAAAGCTGTTAAAGCCGTGCTCAATCGCCAAATGTCGATTCGCATGGCTGCAAGCACTTTTAATATGCCAAAGTCAACTCTTTTTGACCAACTTGTAAAAACAAAGCAAAAGAAAAATTTGACTGACTCGGGAAATGAAAGCAATAGTTCAGATGAGAATGAATCTTCTTTATCGAAGTACGCTACCCGTCAAATATTCTCTCCAGGAGAAGAAAAGCAGTTGGAAATTTACCTAAAACAATCTTCAAAAATATTTTATGGGCTGACTTACAGCTCTACGCGGCAGTTGGTATATAAATATGCAAGTTGAGCAAAAAAAATCCAGATACTTGGAACGAAAATAATATGGCTGGGAAGGAGTGGATGCAATCATTCATGAGCCGTCACCCAAGACTTTCCTACCGCAAGCCAGAAAATACCACCATTGCACGAGCAGCAGCTTTCAACAAAGCCAATGTTGCTCCGTTTTTTAAGAATTATGCAAAAGTTCAAGTAAAATATAATTTTCCCCCTAATCGCATTTGGAATACCGACGAAACTGTTCTTCAGGCTCCTAAAGTTATTGCCTAAACAGGGACAAAAGCAGTGGGCCAGTGCGTTTCAGTTACAATGTGTAGCTTCATTTCTGCTGTGGGAAATACAATTCCTCCAGCATATGTATTCCCTCGTGTACGTATGAAAAAGCCGTTTATGGATGGTTCAGTTCCTGGGGCAATAGACTTTGCCGAGAAGTCTCCAGTTATTGGAGCATATTCAAAAACATGCTGGTTGAATTCAAGCAAATCCAATTCTTTTGTTGTTCGATAACCACGAAACACACACATCACTCGGGACCATAGACTATCCTCGTGACAATGGTATAGTCCTACTATCATTTCCATCCCATTGCACCCACAAGATGCAACCCCTTGACAGGGGCATTTACGGGCCATTTAAGAACAGATGTAAGGCTGCCTTTAACGACTTTATCATTTCAAATCCTGGAAAACCAATTGGAATTTATGATATCGCTAAACGCACTGCAGATCATTATTTGCAAATTTTTACACCTAAAAATATTATAAGCAGCTAGCTACTCCAGTACTGGTTTGTGTCCTATTAATTCCATGATTTTTAATTATGACGATTTCATGGGGTCGTTCGCCACAAATTGGGCAGATTCTGAAATAAGAATGAAAGAGTGTGAACTGCCATCAACTTCTATTACATCGAACAACTTTTTTACTCCGTCCATCAGTATGAGCACTAGCAATGTGGCCGATTCTGAAATTGACGAAGTAACCATAATGAACTATGTTGAATGACATATTAAATCAGGTTACAAAATATAAAATTAATATATTTTCCGTCGACAACATTAGACCATTACCAAAGGCAGCCCCCAGAAAAACAAATGGAAAGTCTCGACTAGTTAAATCCGGAGAAGGAAAGAATTCAAAAATTGGAAACAATGAGAAAACAAAAGTTGGAGAAAAAAAAACACTAAGAAAAACAAAAGTTGAAGAGAAATGTAAATGGAAGGCACCAAAGAAAAAGTTGAAAAAAATAGAAAGTGACTCCTCAGATTCTGATGTGGATTTACCACAGAATGTTGTTCACGGGACTAATTTTTTTGACGATCTGTCCGATTTTTTGGACGAGTTTGAAGACAGTGACGATGTACTCATGCTATTGGATGATGACGTAATCCATTGTACTGATTATTTGCTTGTCAAATACCCGACCAACAAAAGGACACTTCATTACATCGGCAGAGTGGAATCTTGCAATAATGATAAATCTTTCGTCTTAAATTTTTTGAGAAAGTATAAAAGCGAATTCCGCTTTTCGGACTTGCAAGATATTTCGACTGTTTCCTTACTTAGAGGGGACGAGGTTTCAGGTAATCACCGACCACTAGCCTGAAGTGGCTGAATTCAATCCGTGATCCTGTTGGCAGAATTGCACGTTGGGGAGTTCGACTCCAACAGTATGACTTTGAGGTCACTCACCGAAAAGGGAAGGATAATGTAGTCCCGGACATCCTGTCCGTGCCGGATCCTATTAGGCTAAAAGATAATAAAGCCTCGTTCACATTCTATCAATCGTTTTCTTTTTTTTCTTCTTTCTGGCGATTTACAGGAACCCATCCCCTGAGGTTACTAGCTAACCTGGTTAGAGGAGTTCGGTAATTTGAACCCCTTTATCAGGACAGGCTACCCGTATCATATAGTTTCGAAAATACCTAATCCCAAGACAGCACCAGGAACTTCCAGGATGTGTTCGCTCTTTAAATTTAATGTCAATTTTGATGGTTACAACGTTAAATAAACTTTTTCTAATATAGTCTTTTATTCCTCTTAAAAATAAATAGGTTCTGAATTTTGTACCCCACTACTTGTCCGAATCTGCCCCACTATGGGGCAGATTCGGACAAATGCATCTTTTTCGGACAAATGTAAATGAACCACTGCGTTTTTTTGCTTGAGATAATGTCAAAATATTGTAAATACACTAAGGTATCCGTAGCACTTGAATTAGGTCCAAAATTTTCTCTTAATATTAATGTTTGAAAAAACGTGTCCGAACCTGCCCCACCTTACCCTAATTTAGAAACTTTTTTCACAACTGCAATTTTTTCGTATATTCAACAGTTTACGTACACAAAAATATAAATAATTTATCTTGACATTTTAATACAAGAGAAAAAAATGAGAATACAAATTGCAAAATTTTATAAGAAATTCCACCCCTAAATGATTGGTAGAACACCCTAGTAAAATACTGAACATTATTACGGAACACCCTGCAGACTTTAATTGAATCGTCCTTCCTTAATTATTATAACCTAATTACTATACAGACGAAGTATCCTTTGGCAGCCATTGTGTAAAAATACATTCTTGGAACAACATTGTGAGTGCAAATAAAGTACTTAGATTATTTTCGGCAAATGTTTCTGATAGTCAGGAATATGCACAACTGAAAAAAGAAGGCAATGCACGGCACGTTTGCAACTGGTTTACTATCACCTGCATCTGCAGAAATAAATCTATTACAAGTCGTTAAAAGTAACTATTTTGATTTTACGTTTTGTTACTTTTGTGTTCTAATAAAAAAATTTAAATGTAACATTCTAAATTGCGCTACAACAAAAAACAGTTGCACAAAGTTACTTTTAAAATTAATATAAAAAAACGTTTACTTTTCCACATGGACTAGTATTACAGTTTAAGGCAATCTAAAAAAGCTAAGTAACACAACAAACTACGTTGCTGTTGTTCAAAACAGCTCAAATATTCATTGTCTCAAGAAAACCTATTTTAGATTTACTTTTCTACAATAACTTTTTGAGAACAATCGATATTTAGTACTTTTCTATCTAATAATTCTTGAACATTGATTGCATAACAAACAAAAGTTTATTTCAAATTCTATTCAGGCACGTATTGACTTGCAGTCTAAAAATCAATTAAAAACTAAACGTCATAAAATACTGACGCCAATGGGTACCGTATCACAAAAGCAACACCGGTAAAAAAGATCTGAATTGCTATTAAAATAGAGGTTAACTTCGCCTCGTGTAGGGGCCCGCAATAGAGCAGCACCAGATTGATAAGAGTTAAATTGTTAGTTACTACCCAACCATCTTTCTCCTGCCATTTTATTAATTTGAACATCCTAAACAAACTGATTACGATCTTCCCTAATATATTCAATTCCGAATATTTAAAATTAGTCGTACTGATCTCCATGCGATCAATTTTTGAGTTAAATTTTGGCAATCTGTGTCTTGGACACGGTATTAATTTAAACAATTGAGGTGAAGAATACAAGAAATTAAAGACCTGAGGTATGAAGAACAGCAAAGTTGTTTTACTAAAATGACCCAAAATACCTACGACGGCAAACGTCATGCCAGAGAAGTAGCAGAAGGTGTCACCAACAAAAACTTTTGAAGGATACCTGCAAAAAAATATTATTTAAAATTATTTCGTATTATCTGTGGACTCAGGGTGCGTATATATTTTAAAACCAGTGAAAGCGTGTCCCCCTAGCGGGACGTCCTAGAAAGTTGTTTAAGAGAAGGCTGACAAAATGAAAATGTTTAATTCGTTCAGTTAACGACCCCTACGGGGGTCGCTGTAAATATAAAGCGACCCCTAAGGGGTCGTTGACTGATTTTTCACAAAAATTACTTTTTTTTTAGATATGTATTATCAACTTTAAAAATTTCGAATTTTTATATAAAAATCCTAATTTTCTCGAATTTGGGGGGATTTTGGGGGAATCACCATATAACAATTTTTTTCTTAAAATAATTCATTTAATAACATGCCACCATTTTTTTTTTTTTTTCAAAATTCCAAAAAAAATTATTTATTTTTTTAATTAAAAAAGGAAAAAGTGGATATAAAACCTGGGGGGATCGAAAGTGTTATAATCTACCTTTATTAACTATATTTTATTTTTTATTTTTTTTTTAATTAAATATAAGGCAATGTATAAAAGGGGGTAAGGGGAGGAAACAAAATATACACTTTTAAATTTTGGTCCCAAACACTCTACCAAAAGGATTTCATCTGAAATTAATTTTTAGGTTACTCTTGTTTCCAAAAAAAGTGGTGGGGGAGAAAATTTTGGTACCAAAACGTTCGACTTTTGGTCCTATAAAGTACTCACACAATAATTTCTTCAATTTTATTCCTAAGTTACTTTTGGCGACTTTTAAAAAAAGTAAGGGGGATGCAATGAATTTCAAAAACCTTCCCTTGTAGTTCCATCAACTATTCACACAATAATATCCAAAAAAGGGTGGGGGGGGGGGACGAGATGGGTCTGACTCGACTCGACCTTTGGTGCTATACATCATACGCACAATATAAATGTGAAATTTTCATTTCAAGATCACTCTAGAGGTTCCAAAAAAGGGGGTGGGGGAAGGTAGTACCACGCGCCTTACTACATTTGACTTCTGCTGACACTAAGTCATAAAATATATCGAAAATAATCATTAAAAAATAAAAAAAGACCCCATAAAAAATTTGGAATGGTGGGGGAAAGTTACCCCATACTAATTTGTTTTCTTATTTTTTAATTATCTATACAACGTATATCTCAAAATATCAAATTTCCGATAAAAATGTTTCATCCCCGCCACACACTTTATGAAGGGGGGCAGTAACTTGACCTTCGGCCAATCACGGTGTGCATGAAAATATTTTGTAGGCCCCCAAAGGTGTGCCATAGGGATTTTTAATTGTTTTTCTAATTTTTTTTACCTTTCTCAAAAAAGTGGGGGGGAACGGGGGGCACCAATTTTTTAGTTTACTTTTGGGGCCCTCTATATAGCCATATATTCAAATTCAAAATCCAAAGTTTTTCTTACGTCATTTGGAGGAAGGAAGGGAGGATACCAAACATTTTTGTTTACCCTAAGGCACCACATATACTATAGTATGCAAGTTTTTTTTTTCAACCCCCCCCCCCCCCTAAAAGTGGACAAAAAAACAAGAGTTCGAAATGTCTTATATTTTTTTTCTATCCATCCGTATACTTTTTATCACGATTTGTCCCATAAAAAAACCCAGCTTTAGTTCGCTCTAGGTGGGTGGGGGTGATTTTTTTTTTTTTTCATAACTTTCCATCCTACCTAGATGACCTATAATGACCTCCAGGACACTTTTAAATATGCCCATGTTCGCTTTAGGCGTGTAGACAAGAGAAATATAAACTTCCCAGGGAATATAATTCACTTAATTTTCACTTTTTTAAAAAGTGGTATCCTTAAAATAACGTCTCTGCTCGTTCCGCAAATATTCACTCATTACATAAAATAAGATATTTCGTAACTGGTTTCATAAATAGCTATTAAAATGCTTATTGTTCGTTAAGAATCATATAAATAATGCACCTTACAAACTATCTTTTTTCATAATTATCGAACTAGAAATTCTATTCTCTAGTAATTCAAATTTGACAAGTATTAAAAATGATTTTAAAAAATCTTCAAAATCGTGCCGATGCCCTCACCACATCTTAACCAAATTTATATGGGACCACCCCTGAGGTACCCCCTTACTAACAAAAAAAGAATCATAGAAATCGGACAAGGTGGTAAAGAATTATCGCTAAAGATACATAAAAATAAAGAGTGAGGATTTTTTCATGGACCCAATTATTAGATTTTGACCACATTTATATGGAATCAAGCCTGAGGTACCCCCTTACTAACAAAAAAAGAATCATACAAATTGCACTAGGTGATAAAGAATTACCGCTAAACATACATTAAAAATGAAGAGTTTGAGGATTTTCTAATGGACCCAATTATTAGATTTTGACCAAATTAATATGGGACCACCCCTGAAGTACCCCCTTTCTAACAAAAAAAGAATCATTAAAATCGGACACCGTGTTAAATAATTATCGCTGAACATACATAAAAAAAATATTACGACGAATTGAGAACCTCCTCCTTTTTTGAAGTCTGTTAAAAAGCCTTCTAAAGTAGTTTAAAACTCTATAACCACTTTCCTAATCATTTTAAAAATATGAGTTTAAACAAATTTTTCTACACCCACATGGATAATAGTATTCCATTGTGTTCAACTGAATATATTTCATATCCATTCTACTTAGTAAGAACACTGCAAAAAAATTAAATCCACCAATCACAGTTTATATTTTGGTCACCCGGCTACTATTATTTTTTTAAATTTTATATAAGTGACAAATCTGTCAAACTAATTGTCAGTATATTTTTTAGTTATTGAGATTAAATATACGTAAACATGAGTTATTCTTGTGTAGAATATCGATAAATAATAGCATTTCAATTTTTATTTCGTGCACATTTACAAATAAATCTAAAATTTTAATCAAACTATAATTAAATCTTTATAGTTAAGTATTTTGTTTTATAAATTAGTAGTTATAAATTCATTAAAAATTAGTTATTTTGCCTTATTATTTTTTAAATTTGTAGATTTTCGTTAGTGGGTCGTAGAAAAATTACTGTACAACTCTAGTGGATTGTCCATATCCACTCTTGTTGCACAAACTACTATTGTCTTATGTGAAGCAGTTACTATTGTAAAAGATAAATAATACTTTTCCGACAGGTAACCTTTTATAATTAAAAAGTTCCTCCATGTTTCATGTCATGTTGTTTTACATCTTCATTTGTTAATATTTTCTTTTGTCTTATTGTATGATCTTAATATTTGTAGTAAATTATGTATACATTTTTCATGTCTAAGTTGAGCGCTTTGTCAATGACAAGTGACGGTGACATTTTTATCACTAAAAATACAGCTCTGAACGATATTTTCAGAAATTGTTTTTAAAAATGGGTTCAGAATACGGTAAAGAATGGTGAAAAGTATATAGTTTGTTGTTTTACTTTTAATGCATAACATTTTAATAAGTGATATTTAACAATTAATTTTTATTCAATACAGATAGGTAAATGTTAGACAAAATGTTGCAACAACTTATTTAATTATTGTATATAGGCAACACACATTGTACATGTGTGTAATGTATGTTGCATATCAAGGAGTTGGTACACATGTATTACCAACGATAAGGAACGAGGTTGGCGTCCTGCGGCCAGCCAAGCATTGAATAAAAGTATGTTATTGAAATAAGTTGGTTTCATTATAAATAATCTATTAAATACTAAATGCATATTGTACACGCAACAATAATTATAAAGGGTAGTAGTGTTAAACTATCCCCGTACACTTTATAATACACCCCTTTTCCAATAGTTAATGGGTCCTATGATTGAACGTTTACGTTATCCGTAACGTACATGTTAGGCCGAGTTTTAACAGTAATGAGGCAAGTTCGTATGATGGAAACCTGTTAAATTAGAACATAACAGGCGGAAAATAACAGTAATGTGTTATGAAAGACTTTACATCATACGAATTTGTCTCTTTACTGTTAAAACTCGGCCTAACATGTACGTTACGGATAACGTAAACGTTCAATCATAGGACCCAATGGGTCTCAGCAATATACCGCGTTTTTTTTAGTACCTGGCACTGATTTTGTCAAAATTGACAAGAACAAAGTACCCCCCTGGAGGCGATGGGGGGAAAATGGTTTCACCTAACAAAGCGGAATTGGGATGTATATTACATGTCCCAATTATTTACTCTTAACTATTACTCGTTTAGTACCTGGCAGCCGTTAAATTCCAATCCACAAATTAGAAGTACCCCACTGTATTTATTTTCACCATCTACTTTCTCCTCCCTTGGCTTTCACGTTATTTCACCGATTTTTTTTGGGAAAGTGAAAATAAAGTGAATATATTCCCCGGGAGTTTTAGTTTCTCTCGTTTTCAAGCATACGCACCTTTGAATATTGTTATAAAATTTTAAAGAATTTAGAACTAGAAATATCGTTGTGATTTCTGAACGCATCCTATATGATTCCGGTAGCGCTGTCATAAGTCATCTGATAACTGTCAGTCACAGACTGAAAATGAAAATGATAGCGATTCAAAATTCGTAAAATTGGGGATTTTTCGTACTTTTAAACAATGTTCGGATACAATAATGCAGCAATTAACACCAAAACAAACTCTAATATACCCTAAACATCAAAGTACAAAAGCTACTTTCGTTCCCATTTGTTTAAGTGCTAAATTTGGGGTGATGTAGTTTCTAAGAAAATAAATGTATATCTTTCGTTTAAACCTTAAGAGGATATCAGTATGGATACTGATAATGTGTCAGATGTTCCTAATTTTAATTTACTTTTACGCTCAATTACGACCTAACAAACGAACCCCCCAATATGGGATAAAATTTCTGAAAAGCGAAGACGATTTCGGAGACCTTCAAACAACATATCACACATTGAAAAGCAATATCATACTGAAAACTGTGAGCACCAGACAAAGTTATATCGATTTTAATTCTAGTTTATGTTTCAAAAATGGAACTGATTTGGCTTCTATGAAAATTAATCAAGGCATAAATTGGAAATGTAACTGTCTTCCTGGGTGGCATGGAAATGATTGCGGATTGCCAGAGGTTTTGTGGAGAGCTGTTTTAGCCAACAAGAAGCCTATTAAAATCAAAGGGCCCAGGACCTTTGAGAGAAGAGTGATTTATTTATTCAAAGTTGATAAATTTTCGGAATATTTGGCGGATATTAGAATCAATGATTTAGGTAAAATTTTGAGAACCACATACATTATAAATACGTAGTGTCTAAAACTCCAGATTCCTTGTAGTTTTTTTTATGATTTTCGACATTTTCTTTGTTGTTTTGTTAGTTGTAACAATGATAATATTATTGTTTTTTATTTAACTCTGGCTAAATAAAGGAACTTATTATGTAAAATATTTTCATATATTTTGGTTTAAAAAATCTCATGTTTTGGTGGCAATAAGTAGGTAGTAACCTTTAATATTTTCAATATTAAACTAAAAAATCATTTTAGTCATAGTAAATAAATTAATTAAACCTGTTCATCTTACAATAATTAACCTGAGTGATTGACAGGTTTTTCTTTAGTATTTTAATACCATAAACTGCACATTTGATTAATTGAAAATGTTATTTTTAGGTACAGTAGTTGACCTTTTCATTTTATATGAAGACGATACCACTGACTATCTGCAAGGAAAATTGGATGCCAATTTTTGTAAAGAATATCAGCATAAAATCCTTTATGTCAAAAATGATGGAGTTAACTTGTGGAAAAAGATCAAACAATATTTAAAAAACCTAAGAAATGATGACATAATACTTTCGAGTGAAACAAATGAACTGCCAAACCGTGATGCTTTAATTTTCCTAAAATTCTATGACCATTGGCCTCAACCCATAAAATTCAGGTACAGATGGTCAGTTTTTGGTTTCTTTTGGATGCATCCCGGTAGAACCATAACTGGTGGGGGAGCCTGCACTGTCTCCTTTCTCAAAGAATCTTTTAGTAATAATATTACACTTCTGACTGACAACAAAACCCTCTCTAGTCCTGTATATAAAGGCCTTACTTTAGGTGACCTAAATCATTATGGAGGATGGTACTGTGACTACTGCAATGATCCTGCCAATATTGTAGAGTTCTTAGCTAGTAAGCCAACCAATGTGATAAACTGGGATAAGATTGAGCACCAAAAAATAGATAATAGTTATATAGAGGATCTGATTGAAAATGGAGTGTACATAGATGGTAAAACAGAACTTAAAAAGGCACATAAATATCAGGATACATACTTTGCACCGAAATTTGTAATGGAACATGATTGGAAATATGATTTTTTACTTATTAATTTTTACTCAAAGGCGGACTACTATGACATTTAGATTTTTCTTCCATTTTTTTTTTTAAGCAATAAAGGCAACTTAAAATTTATAACATGTACTCTTGACAGCTATTGTAAGCCTTTATTTTACTTGTTTTAAGATTTTAAAGAATTTTTTCATGTTTTAGTATTTATATTTAGGTATGTTTAAAGTGTTTGTGAGCCATTCTACTTCTAGGTAGAATATTTGACCAATTTTTTTGTTTCTTCTAAAATTCGAAATTTTACAAATCATACTTATATAAATAACATAATTTAAATTAGAGCTTTAGGTTACTGTTGTTTTTCAGGCCTTGCAAAAATTAAATATATAGTATTAAAAAATGAATAATTTTACCAATGTTTAATCATTCTATGTCAAAATATTGAAAAGTGGAATGGCCTTTATAGCTTTCAGTGTTGCCTGTTAAGCCTTTATCAAGTTTTGAGTGATTATATTTTTGTGACATATACACGTTAATGATTTTATGTGTCTAGTAATTGTTAATCTAGCCAAATATTTACTAATTATTGTTATAATCATTTATTTTTAATGCGACTCCAATGTCTAAAGAAATAAATTACACAAAACATTTTGCTTTTTTTTAACTAAACACTTACCAATTATGCTTTAATAAAGCTAGCGTTGTAGCAGTATAGGGAAGCATAAAGTAAAGACTAAACTGATGAGCTTTTGGTAGATTACCAGACAATTCCACGACATTGAAAATAATAATTGACATCGCTATAACAACACTTTGGCCAGTCTCTAAACCATTAACGCCTGCTAAAATATTTATAGCATTTGTGCAAAATACAGCCAGCATGCCCATGTAAACATAGTACAATAGTCCAATATCTATGGAATATCCAATTAATTCCCTTAAAGGTTTTGGTGTTACAATTGTGGTAGAATTAAAATTGACATAGTATACCATCAACAATGGTAATGATGCAATAGTAGGCAGTAGAAGTTTATGTCTCCATCTTAAGTCCAAAACATCGTCTGCAAAACCGAGTAATAGCATGCAGCATATTGATAATAAGGCTGCCAGTAATTCCACAAACTAAAAAATTTAAAATGTCAGGATCAGAATTTCCTTTATTACCTTCAATATGCATTATTCGAATAAATAATTAGCCTTATAAAATACCAGAAGGGAGATTGCCCCCTCCCCAAGTAGGGTTATAATCTGACTGGAATTTAAGGACAACAGAATTTTGCCATCAGGCAATGATGCAGTAATAGTAAAAGAAAAACACTATTGCCGAAGTACGTACTCTCAAAGCATAGGGGATAATTTTGTTCCTTTGAAGGTGCATAGGTACAAAAAAATGAATATGCAAATAAAAAATTTGTATCAAGAATGTACACTACATTAATGTATGGATAAAAGAGTGCTACAAATGGTTTGAATTACTGATATTAAAACCGAATCATATTATTCCTTGTGTTGCATTTCTAAGAGATAAAGTCATCATTATTTATGATGTGTTAAATTATTTAAAGTTTTGCAAGGTAACAAATTTCATAAAAACTAAAACAGTGGATTTTTAAGAAGATCCTTCTGGAAAGCATTGGGGTATTTTCTATAATTACTGTGTTGATAAGAGACTGTTTTCAGAATTATTGACAATCTGTCAATACTTTTTTTGCATTCTAAAATTTAATACATAATGTGATGTCATTTTTTTTATTAATGATGTAACAGTTGATCAACAAAAGAATAATATTACTGACTCAATACAACTAAAAATATATAACTTATGAAGATATATATTATTCACATCTAACCGGTCCATGTCAGTGTGTATAGATATTATGTATTATATGTATGGTCCATATTTGTGTTGAAGCAGTGTGTATATGACGTCTCTATCCCTTTTGCAAAATATGTCAGTGCTCAATGTGTTAACTAGTTATTAAAAACTTCAAAAACTAGTAAGGTTATTAAAATAATTTTAGTTTTATTTATAATGTTATTTTGCACAATGAAAAACCGAACTTTTTCATAGGTCATGACTGGGATTTCGTTTTTTAATAACTAGTAACCCTATCCCTAATAGGGGATGAATGATGACTTTATCCTACATGTCAAATCATGTATTTAGTAATAACAAAGTGTGATTCGAATAGCAAAAAATAAAATATACTAATTCAAGATAAGATTGTACCTACTCTGGCAACAGAAATACTACAGCATATTATTTTATTTAACTCTATAAACACGGTTTTCCAGTATCAATTTGAACACTTGATAATTTAGTACAATTTTTAGAATTTTCAAAAATATCTTTATCAACTACATTTTAGTATATTTTTTATTAAATATATCTGTCTAGCTACGTAAATGGATTAACAATCGGTAAATGAATCATGTCAGTAATATATATAGGAGGAAAAAATAGATCAAAAACAAGTCGAGGTCTTAGTGTACCAGTAGTTAGGGGATGGGAACAATTTGAAACATTGCAGAACATTTATAAAGGTCTGATTACGTCTTTCAAGGTATGAATTAAACTATATCTGAGCAGTGAACTTTGGATGGTTTTCTAAATCGTAAATTGATTGAACAAACCTCTGCATGTGGAAAATCACCATTAATGAGACTATTTCCAAAAGGAATTGGAATAAATAAAAACATGGTAATTAGGAACGAGCATCCTGTGACTACACCTAAAGATTCTGGCCTAAAAACGAAAAATAATTAAAAATAGAAATATTTAATAATTCATAACCTTACACTTTATCACTGGTTGTTTTGCTCATATCAATCCCAAACAAATTGGCCTTGATAAATTTATCCTTTATACCTGGTATCAATCTTACTGTTATGAAATATGCCCCAATGGACATTAATAAATTTATTACTATGGGAAAATACATTATTTCTAAGTTATTTGTTGTATCTGTATCCACGTCTGCCGCCATAATTTAAATAGAATACTTCATGTGTCAATGTCAATATCATATGTTTGTGAAGTGTTGGATGTTTTTGAATGGAGTACGTTCCGAAATTGACGGAATAAAAATTACTGGATCAGTTCTGAAATTACAAGAGAATATTAATTTTAGCGTTATCTGTATTTATACAGAAAACCATTTTAGTCACAAACATTTTACGATTGTCACTGATTATACGGAAACTGTAAAACAATTTTTTATGAATATTTTAAAAATTAGTGGGTATTAGTATTATCTTTAGAACAATAACATTTGTGATAATTACTTACTATGAATTACGACAAATTCTTATCTATATAACTATGATTACAAATTTTAAAATAAATAAAGCTTATTCGCAACTAGATAGATAGATATATCACAAATGTATTAGCAAAAGCAAATAAGATTGTCTTGAAACATTAGCTGTCACTACTCTAATGAAAATAACAAATATCTATATTTGCTTTTTTAGAATCATAGGTAGTAAATAATGCAAAACAATTTTTTTAAATCGGAGTGGTCTCGTGTACTTTTCTAAAATAAACTACAAGGAACAATACAAAATTGGTGGAATATTAGAACTTCTTGATTATTATGGCTTTTACATCTGTAGATTTTCAGACTTAAAAGTACTGGCCTAATCAGCCGTAATGACGGAACTTTTTTAAAATTCACTGTATCTCCATAGAGACACAAAAAAACCGTCATTTCAAAATAAAAATGTAAAATTATGTAGATATTTGAAGACTGCTCCAGTATGTCGAATTCAATAATAATTTTAAGTTCTTTGAAAACAACATTGTTTTCGATAATTGACATTCCATATAAAACCTTTTTTTAATTTTGACATATAAAGTGACATTTTTTGTAATCGCAGCATTGTATCAAAATGATCTACTTCATGCAACCAGTTGCATAATGTTGAGCATTATGAAACTGGTTTCGAAAAATCCATTAAGTGATCAGTTGCGAAAAGAAAACAAATAAAAATAAACCTTTTTTTGTTTTAAAAGGAATAATACCTATACATTATTATTAAAAGTTTACATCAAAAAATGGCATGTTGACTTATAAAAATAGAATTTGGTTAGCAATAATGTTGTTTTGGCCTTATTTTCCATTCTAAATCAGTACAAAATAATTAAAACCCAATACACGATAAAATAAACCACTTTTTTGAAACCTAAATAACTTTAATAAGCCATATAAAAATATACACACACTGGGGTCTATTCTGTAAAAATTCCTTTATATTTAACGGCCTTTAAAAATATTTTCTTCTTTAATTCGGTCACTATTTAAACGGATCTTTAAAATACATTAGAGGACTATCTAAAAGAAATCTGTTTAAATAAGGACAGAAGTAAATTAACGAATACAAACATATTTTTAAAGGTCGCCAATATTTTTAAAGGCCGTTAAATATAACGGAATTGTTACAGAATAGACCCCAATGTCCGTTAAGAATAAATAATTAATATTATATTCTAATTGTCAATAAAATTATGAATATGCAACTAACAATATAAGAAAATAGTAATGTGGGTTGCCTAAATGTCAATAATTTCTTACCAAAACACAATTTTATAAATAATCTAGTCAAAATTAGATAAATTTTTGTATGTAACATGTTACGAAATGTTTTTTGTAACTGGTTTCATAAATTGCTATTTTGAATTGTAGTAAACATTTTAAAATTACATTTTATTGAAAAAAAAAACTAGTAGGGTAAGTAGAGATACCTACACAATTTTTACCTAATTATACTCCTACCCAGTAAATTTATTTAGACAAATGTTTACCATACCTAAAGATCTCATTTGATGTAAGAACTGTAAAGTGTTTTGATAATAAGTTTTGCTGAACTGCACCTAGAAGATAAACGTTGGTTGTCAGAACCAAACTTAGATACTAATAATATTAGTGATATTAAACGATGTAGAGTAGAAACAAAATATATTGCCCCTTGACCTTGGCAATCTCTTCGAATCATAATCCAGACGTTGTTAACACAACATTATCAATTATTTATGGTATGAATCATAGATTGATGTTACTCTTATTTCAATAAAGTGCAACAAATTTTAAAGATAAAGGCTTCCCAAGATATTGTTTTAAACAATAGTAATTTTATATAAAACAAATGAATTACGATATTCGAGGAATACTATTAGACCTCTTATTCAAATAATAAAAATAGGAGAAGTATTAAGCACCGAATCACTGGTTATAAGATAGGTGTACCCCAAAGGGACTGTAGTGGGTCTGGTTTTATTTATACTATGTAGGTAAATAATATTTTTTAAACAAAACCGCTAAAAACGAAAATTAATTGCTATGCTGATGATATAACGCATATCTTTAACAGTAAATCTTGAAATGTGTCAAATCTACTGCATCAACATTAAATTTATAAAATATAAAAATTTTGTTGTCAAAATTTACTCAGTTTAAGGGGCCTATTCAGTAACGACGTCGTTAATAGACGATAATCGTTCACAGACGACTTTTCTTATTCAGTAGATAACGATTATCGTTGAAGATAGACAAATATGGTCGCAAAATTTTCGTTCATCAACGATATCCACAGAGCTGTCGTTAATATTATGAAGTGTCGTTATAGTGACTTTTCCACCCCCTTTTGTTTCAAAATAACTATCAGGTTTCACCGAGAGCCAGGATGTTTTCTAAATCATAAAACCACTTTGTTATAAACCTTACAACTAACCGGTTATCGACCTAGTACAGCAAGGACAATTTGTAAGGGAATTTCTAATTAAATTAATTGTTCAAAAATTAATTCTGATTCATAGGTAGGATTGCCCATTCGAACATATACTGTTGGTTATTATTAAAAAAAATATAAATAAATGCTTTTTCATTTTTTTGCTAAATTGGCGCGGCGCCGTTTTAATTGATTTCCCTCGCCGGTCCAAGGGGTCCCATCCACCCCTGTTGAGACGTTTATATTCGTTCGACAGAATGCGATTCTAATGTAATGTCTCTATTCAACACGTAACGTGTTGAGCACAGATCCGACATATAAAGATAGGATGGCGTCATCTATGCGTTTCAGATGTTAACTAAAGGTACACGTCGTTTGTAGATGGACAGTTTGTAAAAATAAATGTCAATTAGTTTTTTTTTGTGTCATCGGCATCAACTGCTATGGTTATTAGCCTCGTGTTCGGTGTAGGCTTTGTTACTGTTTCCCAGCGCCACTTTAGGAACAGAACTGTCAATTAGTTATATGTAAATCGTAGAATACTGAATTTAAATTTTAAATTTTGAGTTCAAGAATGTTTTATATTGTAAGGTGAACTAAGCGAAATGGTTGCGGTTGTTTTTGCGTGGCATTTGAGATCATTAATTATATTTTGTAATATTACACTGAGTCGGAGCACGTATTGCACTTAGATTATACAAACCTTAGATGGAACATAAGACACTGCCCATAATCCCATTTCAAAATGATTCACACCCACCAATCACAGTTGAGAACATTACATGTCAGACCGTTGTCCATTCAAATTTAATGTGTCAACGAGAATTAATTTGGTATTTTAGTGACTTAAATTTTGGAAATTAACGTTGAAAATGCCAAGATGTGTTGTAAAAAGCTTTATTTATAATAAACCTGCGAAATGTGACGGAGATAAAAGAAACTTATATTTATTTCGGTGAGATATTTAATTTTTAAAGATTCTGTCGACGTCCATATTTGTTGATTTGAAAATAAACAGAATCGGACTTGGTCATTGGTACATGTTATAAGTAGCAAATAAAGGTTATTATTATAAACTGTTTACTATTTCTTGTTTCATAGGGAATCTTTTTTTAGGAAGTGAAAAGAGAAACATACAATCAAATACAAAAATATCAATTTCATTGCCAATTTATTCGTTTCAAACTTCACAACTGGTTTCAATAGTTTTCTCAAAACTATTTATTTAGTCATTCTCTATAATAGTGTTACTTTAAGTGTAAAGCCAAAGTTTCCGCGAAGAAAATAATCACAATAAAAAAAAACAGTACTATCGCCACAAAATGGAGGGACCTGGCTTGAGGACCGTTTTTTGGGAAGTAATTTTTTTAAGTCACTAACAGGAAGGAGGATATGATTTTGCTTTAGGACTTTTTTTTATTTAATTTTTTATGGGTGAAATAGATTTGGGATAATTTTTGCAAGGAATCTTTGGAATAAATCAAAAATAAATGATGCTCTTGTGCATTTTCAGCCGATTAAATTATTCGTAGATGCATCAAATGTGGGAATAAGGGCCATGATATGTCATGTTTTTGAAAAAAAAAAAAAAAAAAAATATTGAGAAATCTATAGTTTCTGCTTCGCGTGCCTTATCAAAGTCCGAACAAAAATATTCCCAAATTGAAAGAGAGATCCTTGCAATAATTTTTGGCTTAAATAAATTTAATGAATATTTATATGGACATTTGCATAAAGTAGAACATTATGCAACTGATTACGAAAAGTTGATTATGTCACCAGTTACGAAATGAAAATAAATAAAACTGCCTCGTTTTTGGTTTCTAAGTTGAAAAATCGTAAAATCGAGAAATTGAGATACCGAGAAATCGAAAAATCGAGAAATCGAGTAATCGAAAAATCTAAAAATAAAAAATTGAAAAATCCAAAAATCCAAAAAACGAAAAATCGAAAAAACCAAATATCGAAAAAGAGGCAATGAATAGTGACATTTCACATTTGAAAATATGACATTACGTTTAAAAACAAAAAAAGAGAAGCTGTAAATTGCGTTTAATTTTTAAAATAACACCGTTATTGAAAACTGCCCAGAAATGTTGGGGGTAAAATTTTGACGTACTTCTTTAAGGATAATGGGTAAAAATGTTTTTTTTTCAAATTTCTCGCGGGTAATGTCAAAAATTGGATCGGCAACACTGCACATGTCCCTTATTTTTATTATTACTATTGAAAAAAAAAAACGTCGTAGGGCAATCAAATACAACAATTTTCTAAAATATTTGATTGGAAGTACCTACACAAGAATGATGGTGAATAATTTTTCAACACAATTTTATAAATAATCACGTCAAAATTAGAAAAAATCTTGTATATAAACACGTTACGAAATGCCGTTTTGTGTAAGTCGTTCATGTTGCGGAAACTCGCTCCGCTCGTTTTGCAAATATTTACTCGTTACACAAAATAAGGCATTTCGTAACTGGTTACATAAATAACTATTAATTGACTTTCTAATATTTTAATTCATTGGACGGTATTTTCCGTAAATAATTAAATCATAAATAATTACCAGGATATAAGTACCAAAACATTTTTTTCTCTTAGAACAGTAGGCCTATGTCAAATAAACTTAAAATATTATAACGAACGAAAAGGTAACCCATTTCTAATAAAATTTAGTTATTTATTTTATTTTGGTGTGATCGTAGAAAAAATCTTTTGTGTAATTCGAGCAGAAAGTACTTATAAACTTTTACTTAGGGTCGATTTTACCGTTTTATTAAACGAAGTTTAAAATACTAAACGAAGATTAAAATGACATTTTTATATTAACAAAAACGAAGTTTAAATTACTAAATGGTGTTTAAAATGACATTTTTATATTAACAATGTCATTTTAATCTTCGTTTAATAATTTAAACTTCGTTTGACACAACGGTGGAATCGGCCCTTAGCTAGTTATATATTGATAAAGTGTTATTGCCCTCATCATACAAGAATCGTGCTAACAAATAAAGTCAAACAAACGTCTCATAATTTTTCATCTTTTAATTACCCACCAAAATTAGGTACTACAATACAAATAGGTATTTAAGTCCGGCCCAGAACACCTCCCTACTCCTTCCACCCAGTTTTTCGGTTTTGGCAAAATTCGCGCAGCGAGAAATGCTTCCTATGTTACCTCTACCCTTTCTAACCTCTTTGGTATTGCATTACTCACTCACACATGCCTCGTGTGTCAGATGAATTAAATTTAAGGCCCAACTCAATTATGTTTGACATATAATCACGATTTTTTTTAGGTTAGAAAACTTGCATTATCGATTTTTCATTTGAAGTAATACAAGACATCACTTTAAATTTATATCTCTTTATGTCAACAAATATGTAACACGATGAATTTATAAAATGTATGTCACTAATGAATATGTGGCGGCAACTGACAGCAAAACTGTCAGCTACTAGAGTACATACAGGTCTGCTATAAGCCATATATAAATGGAAAATAATAATTTAATGTTTTGATTGAGTTAAATAAAATATCAAAATTAAATATGTTTATTTTTAAGTAAACGGCAATTTTAAATGTATACGTCTTCAATCAAAAATAATATAGGCTAATACTCAAATGTATACGAGTGTACTGGACAAGAGATCATTTTACATTTTACTAGAGTTTTTTGTATTAAACAATCGACCATTGTAATGAAACCAGTGGTAAAATAGTATATTACATTACGAGTGTAGAAAATCACTTTTCACACAAGTGATGTACAATATTTTTCCTACGACCACAAAATAATTTCATCAAAAAATGTAAAACCAGGTTATTATTATAATAAATAAAATGTATTTAAAAAAATAATCAACAATAATCGTATTTATTCAATTTTCATATTTTCTAAACAAAAAAAAAATAAAAAAAACAAAAAAAAATAAAAAACAAAAAAAAAATAAAAAACAAAAAAAAAATAAAAAACAAAAAAAAATCTAGCCCTGCCAGGATTTGAAGGCGGTCGCTCGCCGGGTCTGTTGATAAGTTTGACACTGTAACCCACATACTTTTATTTTCTTTGACTATAGGGAGAATGGTCGCACTGCGCAGCTTTCTGAGTGCCTTTTAAAAGGAGATAGAAAACTCCGCCATTTTGATCCCTTATTACGTGTTGCCTACATCTTGGC